AGAAAGAGAGAGAGTGCAGCAGGTTTGAGGGTAAGAAGATGTTACAGAAGTCTCTTTTCTCTGCTTGTCCCAATCACAGGTCAAAATCATGACAATGTGGGACCATCACCATTTGAAGGGCCCAACCCAACTCATTCCAAACCTGGAAATAGTGGTGTTTTGGTTTAGGACATTACGTTCCACATTGCACGTGGGACGCCAATGAAGCTCGAGCTCGACTAAGTTAATATTAATTAATTTAAACTTTTTTCTTTAAAATTAAAATTAAAAAATTAAATTTATATAGGTTAAATGCTTAATTTGGTCCCTCAACTTTAAGAAATGAACATTTTTGGTCCCTTAACAATTTTTTACACTTTTTTGATCCTTCAACTATACGAAATGCATTCCGTTAGTCCTTCTATTAATTTGGACCGTTAACTCTGCTTAGGTGGCATTTTTTATTTTTATTTTTATGATGTGGAGAGCAAAACTTCAAAAAGTGATGACATGGATAAAACTTTTACCATGTCACATGCTACCTGGCAAAAACACACCAAATCCATTCAAATGGGTCCCACATCACCACTAACAATTGCTTCTTTGCCCATCGGAAGTTCGACGAAACCCAGCAAATCTGGGTTCGATGTAATCCAGCAAATAGGTTCCATCAAATCCAGCTCAATTCACTGAACTCAATTGTCCAAAAATCACTCGCAACAACCTGCAATTTGAATAATCTCTTGGCAAACAATCATATAAACACAAAAAAAAAAAAGTGGAGCTGGGGGGGGTTCGATGGAACCCAACTCTGGGTTCCAGCGAACCCAGCAGAGGGTTCAATAACCCGAGGAAGAAGAGGAAGAAGAAGAAGAAAGAAGAGGAAGAAAAAAAAGAAAAAGAGAAAGGAAGAAGATGAACGAATTATTTTATTTTATTTTTAAAAAATATAAATAGTAATAATTGAGTTGGCATAAAAAAAATTCCACGTCTAACATGTTTTCAATTTGTTTTTGCCATGTCATCAAAAAAATTATAAAAAATGTCACATAAGCTAGTTAACGATCGAAATTAACAGAAGAACTAACGGAATGCATTTCGTATAGTTGAGGGATCAAAAAAGTTCAAAAAATTGTTAAGGGATCAAAAATGTGCAACTCACTAAAGTTGAGGGATCAAATTTAGCATTTAACCATTTATATATTAGTATTATTAAGTAGTTGATAATAATAATAATAATAATACTGTGCAGATCATTTTTCGTTTTAATGGATTTTGGCATTAATGGCAAGCAA